AACTTTCCGGTTCACCTGCATCTCTTACCATAGTATACTCTGAAGCAGGGTATCTAGTCGAGGGTTGTTGTTCTCTCTCCGACCGTCTCAACTGAGGTACTTGTGGTTGATCTATATATGGTGGCTCTGGATGTTCATGCTCCCCCTGATCAAAACCTGGAGAACCTGCAATTTCTTCTTCTTGCACATCATGAAAATCATTATTTTCTAGCATGGGAGAAGGAAAAACAACTGGTGTAGAGATTGGATCTGGGATGATATGAGTGTTTTGTGGCTCCTCTTCTTTTTCAAAATCAGCAAGTGTTTTATCTTCACAAAAAATAATATCCCTGCTCCTCATAATTTTCTTATGTTTAGGATCCCACAACCTATACCCAAATTTATTATTTTCATATCCTAGGAAGATGCATGGAATAGCTTTATCATCAAGCTTTGTTCTTTTCTCCTTAGATACATGTACAAATGCCTTGCACCCGAACCCCCGCAGGTGAGAATAGGAAATATCCTTTCCACTCCAAACTCTTTCAGGAATATCTCCATCCAAGGGAATTAAGAGGGACATGTTTATCAAGTAGCAGGCTGTGCGCACTGCTTATCCCCAAAATATTTTTGGTAATTTAGCTAAAGATAGCATACTCCTTATCCTTTCCACAATTGTGTGGTTCATCCTTTCTGTAGTCCCATTGTGTTGCGGTGTGTGTGGAACAGTCTTTTGGTGTCTAATGCCATAAAAAGAACAATAGTCTTCAAACATCCTTGAAGTATACTCACCACCATTATCAGTGTGAATACACTTCAAGAGCTTTTCAGTTTCTCTTTCAACTTTGGTATGAAAGTCTTTGAAAACTTTAAAGACTTGATCTTTAGTTTTTATGACATACACTTACACCTTTCTAGATGCATCATCTATGAAGGTCACAAAGTATGAGGTACCACTAAAAGTTTTTTCATTTATGGGTCTGCATACATCCGAATAGACTAAGTCCAATATGCCGGTTTTCTTTTTGTTATAATTTTTAGCAAAAGCTACCCGGTGTTGTTTCCCAATCAAGCAGTGATCGCAGTGGGATAGTGTTGTACCTTGCATGGATGGAAGTAGTTGTCGCCTTGCGAGAGTTTGTAGCCCTTTCTCGCTCATGTGGTCAAGCCGCTTGTGCCACAAATCCATAGAGGTACATTCTACTGTTCCAAGTTCATCATTCTCTAAGTGAAACCGAGTCTTATAGAAAGTGTAACACTTCTTTCCTCTCACTAATACAAGTTATCCTTTTGTAAGCTTCCAACATACTTTACCAAAGTTGCTTGTGTATCCTTCTTCATCAATCTTGCCGGTGGAGAGAAGATTGAGACGAAGATCGGGCACAAATCTAACATCTTTTAGAACCATCTTTGTTCCAAGGTTAGTAGTAACACAAATATTTTCAATGCCAAAAATTTGAGAAGAGTTTTTGTCACCCATTTTTACCATTCCAAGATTACCTTCACGAAGCAAAGTGAAGTAGTCCTTCCGGAGAGTAGCATGGTAGGAGGCACCAGAATTAATCACCCATTTTGAGTCTTGGCATGCCGAGAAAAGCACAATAATTCATTGTCACTGACAACGGCTGCACTTTCATTCATTTCTTATTTTTCATTGGTCTTTCCTTCCTTTTGTTCTCGCTTCACTGACAACGGCTGCACTTTCATTCATTTCTTATTTTTCATTGGTCTTTCCTTCCTTTTGTTCTCGCTTGAGCTTGCGGCATTCCCGTTTTATGTGTATTGGTCTTTCCTTCCTTTTGTTCTCGCTTGAGCTTGCGGCATTCCCGTTTTATGTGTCCATTCTTCCCGTAGTGATAGCAAGTAATGTCCTTTATAGCCTTTGATTTTCCTCTTGACTTGTCTCGATTCTGAGGTTGTCGATATTTGCTCCTCCCCCTGTTCTCGGTAACAAGAGCATGAGAATGGGAGGATCCATATGACTTTCTTCGTATTTCTTCATTCAAGAGGCTGCTTGTAACTTGGTTCATGGATACAACTCCATCAGGTGCAGAGTTGCTAAGAGACACCACCAGCGTCTCCCAACTATCTGGTAACAAGCTAAGCAAAAGAAGGCTTGAAGCTCATCTTCCAACACCATCTTCATGGCTGCAAGTTGATTTACAATACTTTGAATTTAATTTAAATGTTTAGATATAGAATCACCTTCCTTGAACTTGAGATAGACAAACTTCCGAATCAAGAAAGCTTTGTTGCCGACAGTCTTTCTTTCATAGAGATCTTCAAGTTTCTTCCACAAGCTGTTCGCCGAAGTCTCATTTGACACATGGTGGAATACAGTGTCATCCACCCATTACCGAATAGTGCCAATGGTTTTCCGATCGAGCTTCTTCCAATAATCCGCTGACATGGACTCTGGCTTGGAGGATTCACCTTCAACTGACGCATAGAGGTCCTTGCAATATAAAAGATCTATCATCTTCGCCTTCCATATCATCCAATTGCGGCCATTCAAACTAATCATTCGAACGTCGCCGATGAGAGTCTCCATCTCAACACAAGAAGATTAGCAACCTTGCTCTGATACCACTGTTGGGAAATTAACAATACAACAAGACATTTCCCGTCTTTGTGATGAGATGAGAACAAAAAATAGAAGAGAAAAATAGAGAAATACAAAGAGAAATAGAGAGATTGCACACACAAGATTAACCGAGGTTCAGCTCAAATTGAGCCTACGTCCTCACTCGCCCCTTCTTCACCGTTTCCACTGTAATCAAACGAAAGCTTACAAAGGGTCTTCTCTCAAGTTGGTATAACTTAACTTAAGGATCACTTTCTCTCACACTCACTTGAGGATTACAACTTTCTCTTAAACTCACTTGAAGATTACATATTTGTATGTGGTTCTTCTTCTTGCTTCTTATTTTCAACCTTCACCATCTCCCCTCTATTTATAGGGAGGATATGCCTCTTGGGTACACCACATTCATTGCATGGGGAAGTCCAAAGACTAGCCCTTCATTTTCCCAATACATGAGGAAAGACAATCTATCAATGCATGTATGTAGTCAACCATAAAATCTCCATGAATTAAATCCACATTAATTCATCATGGGGATGGACCCCGTTCCCATCAATTACTCCACACAATGCCGCAGCAAGGAACTGGAGAGGAGTTAAGAATAATATCGCCATAAGCATTTTGTTGTTTTTAACTTGCAATTAACTGTCCACTTTTGAAAAAGTTGCCGGATTACCTCAATTGACCCCTACTTAGGGCCTGTTTGTTTGCCTAAAAAAAGTGGGAAATCAAAGAAATAGAAAACTATTTCTAAGAAGAATTATTTTGGGAGTGTTTGGTTGGCTAAAAAAAGAAGGAAATTAAAGAAATGGAGATGGGATGCGATGAGTTGTCACCTTATTATAGGATGATTGAGTGATTTTTTAAGAAAACTTATTTTGATGTTGTTTGGTTGGCCAAAAAAATAAGGAAATGAATTATAAGAAACATATTTCTTGTAATAGATTGTTTTCTTTTGTTTGATTCATTCTTAAAAATAAAAAAATAGATGAGATGAGATGATTTGTCATTATATTATTGGATGATGTGACACACACTTAAGAAAATTATTTTCCTAACTTTTTGGGAGGAAATGAGTGGAAATAAAATATTAATGAGATGAGATGAGTTGTCACCATCTTATTGGATGATGTGAGTGATTTGAAATGATGAGATGAGATGAGTTGAGTAATGTTGTGGATAAAAATAATATTTTATTAGATGTGGTGGATGTGGTGGATGAGTTGTTGGATGAAAATAATATTTTATTAGATGTGATGGATGAGTTGTTGGATAAAAATAATATTTTATTATATGTTGTGGGTGAGTTTTAGGGATGGAAATGGATGAAATTGTATTTTTTGAGTTTTCTTGGTTTTCATTTCTATTTCTTGGTTTTTTAGGAAATAACCAAACAGGCCCTTAGCCAAAGTTTCATTTCTCTCCTTAAGAATTTGCTTCCGTAGCCATGTGTCCTGCTATCTTACTGAAACAGTCTAAGTATTGTTTCTTTTCATATATTAAACTTGAGGAGTTTTTTAAAAAAAAATTAAAATAAAAGATTCAAACAAGAATAAAACTATTACTTAATTATTTATTAAACTTGAGGAGTTTTTTCTAAAATTAAAATAGCTGACAAATTTTTCTAGTTTCCCCCTTTTTTAATGGAGCTATGGTGCAGCTAAAGTTAAAAACAAAAGTCACAAGTGGGATTGTGAAACACAAGGGATATCACACTTCCATAAGAAAAAGTTGAAAACAAAAGCCAAATCAAGGTAAATTTCAAGAAGAACCTGGGAAACCTTCGGGCGGCGTTGCGCAAAACTTCCTCCACGTTTTTTTTTATTCCACTAAACATCCTTTAACTTAGGGGTTACTCTATGTGATCACTATAAAAAAATTTTATTCCACTAATTCACACCTGAATTTTTCTTATTTAATACTTAAAACTAGCACAATTAACTTTCACGTATCACGTAAAAAATAAAAAATAAAAAATAAAAAAACTCGGTCTAAATTTTTTTCCATCTGTTCCTTTTAAAGGGTATTAATTTATAGGGTTGAGAAGAGATTCTCTGTCATGTGCGTGCCATGTGACATGCTAGAATCAGTGATACCGATTTGGGAATTAAATGAGAAAATTTTAATATGAGATTTAGCAAAATTGAAAAGGTCTTGAAGATTATGTATACTAATCCGGAAACTTTAGAGGGTTCAATGGACACCCCCAAAATTGAGAGAGGTATTCTTGAAATTAATGTTGGAAAAAAGAAGAGGAGAAGATTTTTTTTCTTTTGCTGCAATTTATTCATAAACTGAAAGTGCCTTTTTATAGGCTTACAAAACAACTTAATCATCATAAAAATCTGAACTAATTTCAGATTTATTAGCAACTACTCCACTAACAAAATAACAACTAAAGACCAAAATTTTAGCTAACAAAAAAAAAACAGAAAAATCAGCAAAATATCAAATCTTTAAATCAGTCTTCAACAATTAAAGCCACACATTGTAACTAGAATTAACCCACCAAGAAGCAACAGAAGTCATACCAATCACATGGTATCAACCCTTTACTTCGAACACTTAATATTGTAAAAGAAAAATTAAAAATTTACCAGACTACCATGTATCCAACATGGTAGCTGAGGTTGCAGCTAAAAACATATCCTCCTCACTCGCAATCCATCGACAACTCTCACACTTACACTCTCCCATGTCCTCATGCTTATCTCTCCTCTTCTCCCTCAACTGCAGAACCCTAACCCTCATCCCCATCCTCACTACAAGCGTAGGCGCCTTCGATCCTTCCATCAATGATTTCTTTTCTAGGTCAAGACCGATACTTCTCTCAACCGGTATGCCCTCCCAAGCAACCTCAGCCCTTCCCAAGAGCCTAGACTGCTTGGACGCGAAGCCAAAAATCGGCTTAGCGCCCCTCCACCTCAGCTCAAACGCTACATTATGCTCACATACCACCTTTTTCATGGCCTCCGGGGGCACCATGCACTCCAAATAGGACGTCTCATCCCATCGCAGAGCGCTTTTGCTTGAAATCTGTCGAGTATCAATCCGAATCCTTCTCCCTCCTCCCGCGTTGACACGGTACCTTATGAAGAGCATGCCAGGTTGGAGATCAATAATGTAGAGGTTTGTCAGCTTAATGATGGTGAGCTCACATTGAAGTTGAGCCATAGCGGGGTTGTGGGATTTGATTGTAGAGGGTTTTGACGAAGGGGGTGCTATATATATATATATACAGAGGCTAGGCCTCTTGGAAAGTGGTGGTATTTGTTGCGGATAGAGCGGAAGAGAAAGCTTATGCTCTCAAATCAACGTAGACACGGAGATGCTTTTTTGAGTGAGTTTGGTGTGTAGGGTCTTAGGACAGTATGACCACATGAGCCCTTGGCAATATCCAAAGGCCATACATATATATTGGAAATGCTGGCTTCTGCGTGAGAGCCATTATTATATATAGCCTTAATTATGGGGAGGTTTCCTTCAAGGTGGTTAATGTTAGGGGGGAAAAAGGTTTGGGTATTGAGCTCTAGTGGCCTGAGCACTTGATCCCAATTAGGAAATTGAGTGGGAAGTGGAGATTGGAAAGTTTTTTTTTGCTTTGTGGTAACTTCATCAAATCTAATAATGGTTGGTATGATTCTCTTAGCCAATGACTAGGACCCAAATGTCAAATTCGGTGATTCGGATTTGACCCTAGCCCATGCATTAGACTTGGCCTGATTTGGCACGGCAGACGGTTAGAAATCAAATTAAGGCAGGCCAAAAGCAAGTCTAGTCATTTTTTAAAGGACAGTCAAGTCTATTCAATTAGGTTGTTAAGTTGTACATTGGCAAGGCGGCTTGTCATGAAAAGCCAATGAGAGGATAATTATTATTGTCAAAGCTAAATATCATACGGTCAATGCACATCCAGCCTGCTCTAAAATGTATAAAAGTTCTTGCAGTTATGTGATTATTGTTAGGATATGTGAAGCCTAACTATCAGACTTGCCCTATACTTCAGATCGAATAAGAAACAAGAGAAACATGATCGACGACGACAAAGTTCAAGCAAAACGACGAAGAACGCATTTTTACTGGATTGCGGTCGACCGCGCATGGTGCGGCGGTCGACCACAAACGTGCACAGGCAGGTGCATTTGGCCAGGATTCGTTCCGTCGAACCGCGCATGGCGCGCGGTCTGAGCCGGCCAAAAATCCGGAGCAACCCAGATGTTATCTCGTCGCGGTCGACAACGCCGAGTGGCGCTGCGCGGTCGACAGCCAAAATTCCAGAGACTCTTTCTGGATTTCCGACAGCTACGGCGGCTCGCCGGCCCGTGGCGTGGCGTCGACCGCGGAGTCGGGGTCTTTGGCCCACGTTCAGTTTTTTATCTTTCTATTCCTCTTTGAATACCCTTATATCTATAAAAGGGTTGATTAGGGCATGATGTAATAGAGACGAAAATAGTAAAATTTTCTCCTGCGACGGCCATGGACGTAGTTTCTCACATTGAGAAGCGAACCACATAAATCTTATGTGTTTGTGATTGTGATTTTCTCTCTCTCTCCCAAATCTCTATTTCCAAATCACATCAGGGGGGTTGTGCATCCCCAATAAGTGGTATCAGAGCTACCAGGTTCGGCGCGAGCGATTTGAGGTTAGAGACATGGGATCCGAGAAGGAAACATCCAAGATTGAGAAGTTTAATGGAACAAACTTCGGGTTCTGAAAAATGCAGATGGAAATTACCTCTATCAGAAGGATCTATACCTACCATTGGGAGAGAAGCCGGGGGATATGAAGGATGCGGAGTGGAAGCTATTGGATCGAAAGGCCATTGGAGCGATCATGTTGACCTTGTCGAAATCAGTAGCGTTCAACATCAAGAATCAGAATACGACGGTGGATCTCATGGCGGCGTTGTCCAGTATGTATGAGTAGCCCTCTACGGCGAATAAGGTACATCTTATTAAAAAGTTGTTTAATTTGAGGATGTTCGAGAGCCAGAAATTCGAGGAACACCTGAACGAGTTCAATGAGATCACGGATCAATTACACTCGGTCAATATTCAATTTGATGATGAAATCCAAGCCCTCTTGATACTTGGTCAATTACCCGACAGTTGGAAGGGTACTGTTATTTCAATTAGCGGATCATGTGGTAAATCAAAACTGAAGTTTTCAGAGGTGGTGGACATGATTATGACAGACAAGAGGAATGAATTTCTAATTCAGGATCGACGTTGAATTTTGAGAGCAGAGGTAGAAACAAAAACAGAAATAGAGGGAATAGCCGAGGAAGACCTAACTCGAGGAACGGAAGGTCCAAGTCCAGAAATCGCAAGAACAAGAAGGAGATTGACTGCTGGAATTATGGCAAGTTTGGCCACTATGAGAATCAGTGCCGAGAACCCAAGAAGGATAAGGAGAATAAGACTGAAGCGAACGTGGCCTTAGGAGAATCAGATGATGCCCTAATCTGCTCGTTAGAGAGCAAGACTGAGTCGTGGGTGCTGGATTCAGGAGCTTCGTTTCGTGCCACCTCAAATAGAGATTTATATGAGAACTATGTTTCAGGAAACCTAGGAAAAGTCTATCTTGGTGATGATCAGCCCTGTAATATTGTTGGCAAAGGAGTCGTGCAGATCAAACTCAAAGGGTCTACATAGAAGCTGAGTGATGTGAGACATGTTCCTAGTTTGAGGAAGAATCTGATTTCCATAGGACAATTGGTGAAAGAGGGATATGTATCAACCTTCGCATGTGATATGTGGAAGGTTATAAAGGGATCCATGGTTGTTGCCCATGGTACGAAGACTAGGTCCCTCTACATGGCGATAGATACACGTGGTTCCATGGCAGTGACTGAAAGTAAGGAAGATCCAAATTTGTGGCACCAGAGGCTTGGTCACATGAGTAGCAAAGGCCTGAAGGTTATGCAGTTGAATGGGAAGTTACCAAGTTTGAGATCGCCTGACATTGACTTATGTGAAAGCTGTATTCTTAGGAAACAAAAGATAATAAGCTTCAAAAGGGTTGGCAGAACTCCTAAAGAAGAGAAGCTTGAGCTAGTTCACACAGATGTGTGGGGTCTAGCATCGGTACAATCCACTGGTGGAAGGTTATATTTTGTGACCTTCATAGATGATCACTCGAGGTGGAAGGTTATATTTTGTGACCTTCATAGATGATCACTCGAGAAAGACTTGGGTCTATTTCATGAAACACAAATCAGAAGTGTTTGAAGTTTTCAAGAGGTGGAAGGGTATAGTAGAGAACGAAACCGGTTTGAAGATAAAGAAGCTTCGTTTAGAAATTAGAGGCGAATATGAAGATTCAGAGTTCAAGAGGTTCTGTTTGTTAGCCCTTATGTTTTAATGATGTTTCACAACCACCATTATCGGTACTAATTGCTTGTTGAGTGATATTGTAGTTAATATATATATCAAGCTTGTTAGTACCAATTATGGAGGATTAGATGGAATATGAGCTTCAACGATGATATCCAAAGGAGGAGGAGGCATAGTGATAAAGCATTGTTTATTCAAGAACAATAAATACAATGAGAAGCTTCATCAACTCAAGCTATATCAAGACTCAAAGAATTATAATTCTACTTGAGGATATTAGCTAGTTTTTCTTTTTTCTCTAGTGCTAGAATGTAGGCAAGTAGTTATAGATTTCATTTGAAGCTATTGGGATATCACACACACGAGGCAAGTAGTTATAGATTTCATTTGAAGCTATTGGGATATCACACACACGTTTTCATACTTATATTTTTTAGCGTTTTGACAAAATATCGAAGCTATTGGGATATCACACACACGTTTTCATACTTATATTTTTTAGCGTTTTGACAAAATATCATTTTACACAAGTATGGGGACCTTTTCGTAAAATTCCTTTTCCAAACAGTTTGTTTTTAATATAAAAAATAATTTACAAAGTTACACAATTTTTGGAATTTATTTAAATATTTTTACAGATTTTTAAAGAGTCAAAAACAGGTTTTATAAACAGTGTCAGCATGTATCAGTTCGCGGTCGACCGCCACGGTCGACCGTGCCTATGTTCTTTTCTGAGTAGGCAGCAGAAACTTTCGTCCACGATCGACCGCCAGCTCGAAATTTCCCACGGTCGACCGAAAAAGTCTCTGGAAAATTCTGAGCTTCGAAAGTGGCTCGCAGTCGACCGCGAGATTTTCACGGTCGACTGCCGTTTACTCCAACGTCTTTTAACGTACAGTTTCAGATGATGATTTTTTACGGGATTTAGGGGATATGGGTATGGGTTTTGGATGAAGTGTTTTCTTCTATTTAAACCCCTTATACCCCTTCTTCTTCACCGTCCCAAACATTTTGAAAAAAATCAGAGATCTTTTTTTACTGAGAGCAAACTTTCAAAACCTGTTTTTCTCTGTTTTTATTTTCACTTCCCAACTTCAATGTAATCTTTCTCCTTACCATAGGGACATTGTAAAGAGAGAGTTTTTACACCATTACTACTATTGAGAGCTTGATCTTATGAAGATCAACTGTGTGGGACTACTATTGAGAGCTTGATCTTATGAAGATCAACTGTGTGGGAGTGAGATCTTGTGGTGATCAACTGTGTAGTTGTGAGATCTTGTGGAGATCGTTGTGTAGAAGAAGTTCCGGCTTCCAAACCGGGTTGTGTAGTGGATTCTCCTCGACAGTGGGGAGCAGGGACGTAGGTCAGCAGGCCAAACCTCGTTAACACATCGCGCGTCACTTGGATAATGATTTCTAACTCTATCTCACTTGCTATAGTTGTTCATTTTGTGGTTTGTTGCTTGTCTAATTTTTATTGCACTATTATAGCCTTAAGATCCTAATCACCCCCTCTCTAGGGGTCCAACAATTGGTATCAGAGCTTGGTCTCTATATTAGTTTTTGGTTTAACCACCTTAGAGAAAAGATCTCATGGAGGCTTCAATGAATGTGAATATGTTAGAGGGATAATCCACCACTAGACCACCACTTTTCACCGGTAGTAATTTTGCTTATTGGAAAGCTAGGATGAGGATTTACCTTCGTTGCATTGATCTTGACATTCTAGAACTCATAGAGAAAAAATATGTAGAAAAGCCCAAAGTCGGAAACATGACCGATGGAGAAAGGCACCAAGCCAATCTCAATGCAAAGGTCATGAACGCCTTAATTTGCGGTCTTTCTCCCAATGAGTATAATAGGGTTTCCACGTGTGCAGTCGTATACGAAATATGAGTGAAATTATGTATAACACATGAAGGAACCCCCCAAGTTAAGGAATCCAAAATCAGTGGGCTTATGCATGAATATGAGTTATTTAAGATGCTTCCTAATGAATCCATCG